AATTTTTGGTAAAAAGTGATATTTTCGACTTCTTGTTGAAAACCGCAAGTCCAATTGCTTTGATATTACATATATAGGTACTACATGTGGACCTCTCTCAGATTTGTTCATTTTGTAATGATATCTTTAATTCTCTAATTTTGGTGAATATATTTGTAATTTTTGGTAAAAAGTGATATTTTCGATTTCTTGTTGAAAACCGCAAGTCCAATTGCTTTGATATTACATATATAGGTACTACATGTGGACCTCTCTCAGATTTGTTCATTTTGTAATGATATCTTTAATTCTCTAATTTCGGTGAATATTTTTGTAATTTTTGGTAAAAAGTGATATTTTCGACTTCTTGTTGAAAACCGCAAGTCCAATTGCTTTGATATTACATATATAGGTACTACATGTGGACCTCTCTCAGATTTGTTCATTTCATAATGATATCTTTAATTCTCTAATTTTGATGAATATTTTTGTAATTTTTGGTAAAAAGTGATATTTTCGACTTCTTGATATATTATACATATAGGTACTACATGTGGACCTCTCTCAGATTTGTTCATTTTCTAATGATATCTTCTGTTCTTTAATTGCCATGTGCATTGCTAACAGCGGAGCTATCTCAGCCGACAGGCTGCTTGTTATTTTTGTCAGAAAAAGAAAAAGAAAAAAATTCAGTTTTTATGAAATATTCAAATTTGTTTTTCTTTGCCTGAGATGTGATTTTGGCAAAACTGGCATGTTTTAGTCTGTTCAGAAGATTTTTTTTTTCATATTATATATATATTCATGTACCATATTTGCTATATTAATAGAGTGTATTTACTTATGTAAATTTAACAGTATACAACTTATGGGATTTATGGTTTATGTGCGCTTTTAATTAATATTAATCTAATTCACTTTCATAGATTGGAACATAATACATGTATGGAATATGAATAATATATTGCAGATAATCTAGTATTGAGACCTTGACTATCAAACATCAATTCTCAGTAACCCTGAGGGCACCAATATGAAAACTAAACTTGCTATAAAATTGCCTTAGAAAGATTGCAATATACATGTATCTGTATTCTGAATGTCATTCTAGTGAGGCATCTAGGAAATGGCCTTGTACCTCTGTGAATCAAAACTCATATATCCTATGTCTCTAGGCTATTCGCATAAAATAAAAGTCTGAGTTTTACATGAAATGTTGATGGTAGTGTTATCGGAAACGATTGTTTTTCTCCTCTGCCTAATATATTAATACAGCTGCCACTGCGGGGGATTTTAAGTTGTTTTTTTGCAATGTGTTGACAGATTTCTGTCATGTGATTTTGTGTTGCCACTATATTGCACATATTGCATATCTTCTTCCAACACGTATGTCTGCTTTCTGTGACAGTTTAATTCGAAATTCATCTGTCGATATCAATAACAGCACTCATATATTCAATTACTGCAAAGAGAAAGAAAAATTCACTAACTTCAATTTCAGCAGATTTGATGTTGCAGGAATATTCACTAAGTAAGCATGGATACAGACTTAAAATGGAATAGAAAGAACATTTTAAATTGACTACCGATACTTTGTGAAGGAAACAAAAAATCCCATGATTAACTTGCCATATTCAGAGGGTTTTAATTTTTCACTTGTACATACATGTATCGACAAAATAGATGAAAATAAAAACTGTATACAGTGTCAAGGCTCAGTATGTCTATCTTGAATACTCCCAGCTATGTCCTAAAATAGAATTCAGTATTTTATGGTTTCATGTGAACCATTCAATTTTAACTGATAGAAATGTTTGTGATTCCTGGATTTGATGGCATTCATCAAGGTAAAGGTATTATTTTCACTGATACAAATATTGGTTAATTTGCTTTCACTGACTAACGAAATTCATGAAAATTTGGCTTGCGAAACTGAAGCCATTTACAGTACCAGTATGTATATATATATATATGTAGAGAGAGAGAAAGCAATCATGCTGTACTGCCTGTACTAGTCATGCAATGTATGAATCAAAAATTGCTGTATATTGGATCATTAAAATATAACTTATTTCAACCATTGGCACACCTCCACTTATTTGTACATGTAAGTGCATATACCGCTAATTTGTAATCACTTATGTGGAAGGTTTGTATATTCATGGTTCACAAAATATACATCTCTGTGTAAATATAATACTGAATATATGTTATTAATACTGTTATGTAATAAATAAATTCTGCAGATATAATCATCTAATTAAGATTTGTCACTGGTAGTCTGTTCTTATAATTTTGTTGTTGTCATCATTCGCATCATGCCCCATGCTCGCATATAACACTTGTAATCAATATTAATAATGTCTGTGTGAGTACGCGGGGATGGGCAATATATTATTAATGATGTGAAACCCTGGTAACAATACATAAACCTGATCAACTTATTTCACAGTACACAGTAGTGTTATGGCAACTGAGGGCTCTTATCTTTGTAATGCTTTAGCCATGTTTTGGTTGGCATGGAAACCTCTAATTGTAAATCAATGTTATCCTGGTGTTGAGTCAAAGGCTTATCGCTAAGAATAGTAGCTAGGTAATATACTTGAATTGTGTGTGACTTTTGTAAAGACTTGTAATTCTGTGGTACTTATTAAATGTTTGCCTTTCTCCAACTTTTCCAAAAACTTTTTCCATAGCTACTGTACACTTATATTAGCGTACAGCAACGCATATAACCATGCGTGTATTTTGTTTTTGTTTGTTTTACCGCTTTGTGAAGTAGGTACGACATAGTACACCATGGTCATTCTCATTTACATGTACTTGGGATACCTGGTGAATGCATTTTTCATGCCCATACATGTTAGTAGGTCTGTTACACCATGTAGCTACAATATGTATGTATTGTACTAGCGGTCTATGATGACTACCTAATACGGTATCTCTTTCTTTGTGTGTTTTAAATTACATTACAAATATGTTAGTGACTACAAGTGCAAACTATGAAGAACCTCCAATTGGCAACTGTATAATATTGAATTTATTAAACTTGTGTAGTATATCACATGGTTACCAATTTTAGATCTTCGATAAATTATATACTACATGTACCTATAGTTATATTCATGTCTGTGTTTAGAATTTTTTTCTTAATTTGCTGATATTTGACCACATTGAACTTGACACCATTTGATATTGTTGTCTTGAAGCCTGCTTTTAATAAAATGTGGGTCCGACTATCATCATACAGAGATTGCATATACATGTACAGTATGTACAATACACATCAAACTAGTGTTCTCCCCTAAGAAGTAGCACAGAGTATCAGTTAGTTTACATAACAATAATGTATGTTAATCATCTCTATTGTAATGTTCATTATCATGCTAAACTTGCTTTATTGTTTATCCCTGTTGGGAACCCTGATTCTATGATGCCCAGGAGGAACCCTGTAAACTTGTGGCTGAGTCCAATGGAGTACACTTGGAATAACATAACTTACACGTACACTGTAGCACCCATACTAGTTTTAAACAAAATCTTGATGTATGTTGCTGTTTCTATTTATTTTTCCAGTGGTCTTGAACCTGCCTGGGCTGGTGCTGTGCAAGACAAAGGAGATGTGTTTTACGTGGAACAGGGCGAGGAACCGCCATCTCCTAAAAAAGTAGCTGTGGACAATGAATTTAACAGTGAGCACACACTAAATGGAAAGGGTAAAGAGAAGAGAGGTTTGCATAAACTTAAAAAAATAATAAAAGGCAGGAAGGGCGACAATGGCAAATTGCATGTCAGTCTTTCAGAACCTGACTTGAAAACTTCGCAGTATAATTTAGTGTACGGAACTCCTGATAAAAACACTGACAATGGTGACTTGAGAGAAGTGTCGTTGTTTTTGAGTCCGGATATTAATCATACAGTAGCACAGAGTCGTTTGGAAGCTTTGTTTGGAATAATACCAGGTAGATTCTCCATCAAGTCAAGATACTCTCCTCTCAGTTCTCCAGCCAGGAAAAATGACTTTAAGAATGGTGATAAAATAATGGTTCGGGGACTCCTACCAACTGGTGTGGCTATGAAGTCTGGTCAAATAAGTATTGGTAAGTTTGACTTTTTTCTATGCATGTCTTGAATTTTTATGTGTTGTCATAGATACATGTATACGAGTGCAGTGTAAAAGCTGTGTGTACTGAAGGATTGCTACACTTGTTCTAGCCCCTCTTTCTGAACTACTGGCCTGTGTAAAATATCCATCATAATGCTATGTTCATATTATTCAGATTGATGATTGTGTCATCTTTGTTTTCTTACTGAATCTGATGTGCGTCTGTATTTCAGGTGATTGTGTGGTTGCAATTAATGGAATACCCCTAAATTATGATAATTTCAACAGAGTACTTTCTGCAATTGTAGGTCCTTTAGAGGTAAGCAATCAATTGACCCAACTAGTATTATTCTGGTATAAACTTATTCAGTCAGATTCACACATTTAAAAGTGACAGCTAATAAAACTACATGTACATATACATTGTAACACCATGAGTGGCAGACAATTAACAATAACTTATTGGGAAAAAATATAAATATTGGTGGAAGATGATCACCTCCAATAATTGTGGTATCATAGTACAAAACTATTATCATGTGATGATGAAAACTTTCTTCGAATGGGTTTATCAGTAGTGCTCCCCAACTCAAATGCAAATGTTAGAATCAGAAATTTATTTTATTTGAGTTCTTATTTATTCATGACAGAAATAAATATAATAATTTCATATTTATTACTAATGTACATATCAGTGTCCATGATTTAAAGTTTTAGTAATCATGAAAACTCTAAAATAAAATAAACAAAATAAAATAAAATACATGAAAAATAAAAAAATATAATGAAAAAGCTCAAACTAGATTCTTATTTTAATCAGATTTGTCACTGCCCGTACTGTACATGGAAACACTACATACTTTTCTAAACATAGTATTCTAAACACCCATGGGCGGTTGTTGCAACGTACCAGTTGTCAAAGCTGATACCTAACAAATATGTTAGTACATGTACATGTCCTTGATGTTTGTTGTGGTTTAATCAGGCTGAAGAAGAGTTACAAGCTGATTCATCAGTTTTGTCTCGGCTGTCAACACATTTGAGTGGTCACATGAATATCTGTTCATATATATACAGACACAAAATATTCTGGCAGTTGCTTATCCATTGAAATAGCAGCATTTTTTTATGCTCAAAGTGTTTTTTTTTTTAAACACCAGTCATTGAGCATTGTTGTATCTGCTCTACCAGCTCTACGCAACTAGTACCCTATTCAGCCGTGTGTGTTTCCTATTGTTTGTTTCAATAGAACACATCACTGTAAGGGTTATTGTTGTAGTGTCGAACAGTTAGGCATTTGTTGACTTGCTTGCACAATGCTATTTACTGATAAATATTGCTCAGAAGCTATGCCCATAAAAGATATAGTGATGATAGTTTGTTCTTGTACAATGCGTCTTTATGTATTATTCGAGGTTTTACCAGTTTATTCCTGTTGAACTCACAACTGCTTCTGTTTACTTTGTGTAAATGTATATCATTGTCTGTTTAAATACCGGTATAGTGTGTATACTCGCTTTGACCAGAGTATTTTCTAGTCTCTTTGCTTGGCAATGTTAGCACACCCTGGGTGATTACTTTGATACATGTACCTAACTAAACTACAATTAGTTCGAATACATTGTATGCAAGATGTCTTCATATGCAAACTGTCCACAAGGACGTTCTCATAGTGGGAGAGTGGAAGAGTCGAACTGTGATCAAGCACAATTCCAACAATCACAAATAGCGGTTTCCTCTTGAGTATTTTCATTTTGCATGACAATAAAATATGTTAGTCACCTTTTATTGTTATGCTTATGTTCTATTGTTTATTCAAAATTAAACAGTTTGGAACCACTACTCTATAATGCCATGGGGAGAACCCTGAAAAGTGCCCGCTCATACTACCTGACAAAACTATCTCACATTGTACTAAAATTTGGAATTGCAATATGGTCTATGAGTGTACTACCCTCTACAAAACATTCAAATATTTTGAAAATGTGCATCATGTTTGACCACTCTTCTTCAATTAGATTGGACGCAGTGTGTGAGTGAAATAGACTCACATGACTGAACGCAAGGAGATGGTGATATTTTTCACTGGCATTTTTGAGGTGTTATATTTTACTAAATCATCACTACACACTGAAAGATATGTATAATAATAAGGGTTTCCCAAGAATACTGTAGTCAGGCAGTACAGGTTAACACTAACAACCACTGCACGATTTTCAGACAATTTCAAGTTGCTTTCAATTTGTTTTTAAACTTTTATTCTTATATCAGGTGAAACTTCATATTGAAAAGCAAGTTCTTCCTAAAGATCGGTTTATTTTACAACCAAGGAGAATTCTGCCCAATGGAAGCCTGGTTAAACTGGTTAGTGGGGAGAAATTGAAAGAAATCACCATTTCACTACAGAAAACACCACATGTAGTTATGTACTTATCAATAGCTGGTAATACTCTAGAGACTACAAATGAAAACAAGGTCAGTTCTTATTTGTGAAGAAAATGTAGCCTTGAGTAACTTTGTAACTTTTCCCAAGGGAAGTCAAATTAAATATTTTTTTTTTTTATTACTTAATACAAGGGAAAGTTGTTCAGATGTTTTAACATTTTACTGTTATTCAAAGAACGACTTGCATGCATCTTTATCAAATGCTACGTTCACGTTATGGGCTCTCAGCACACACCAAATTTTGTTATTCCTTTGTGTTTGTAGAAGGATTACAGCAGTTGCATTCATATTAGTCGGGACCCACTCAAAGGGCGTGATTTTGGTTTGTGCCAAGCAAATCTTGGCACGTGCCAAATTTCGGTCCTGAGCATCTATCGAGACTGAGATTTAGTTGTTTTCGACATGTGTCGACTCAGTCCCAATCATTCACATGGATGGGTGAAAAGAAGTCTGCTCATAGCAGTGCTATTCTTTTGATATGTAGCCATCTGGAATTTTGCAGTATTCGACGTAATAAAGGATTGCACAGCTAAACCAACTTCTCAGTGAATGATATTCTGCAATCCAGCAACTTTGTTTTCATCAGTCATGTCTTATTGGAATGCTCTATACATGTATTCTACACAGTTCAAAATTATAGTCAAATCAAAACTTGATCATTAAAGTGTCATATTTACTCAACTAGAAGTGCATCTTCATTAGAAACACATATAAACCAAAGAATTGCATTTGTTGTTTTCTAAATCTTCCAAATGTTAATTATTTACCTATTGTAAAATACTTTATTTCAGCTGAAATTTATTTTCACTGATTTTTGGCAAGTTGAATGTGAAATATAGGGAAAAAGGTATATTCACTGGGTTTTATTTTCATAGAATCATTCCTTCAGCGAAAATAGCGAAAAATAATTCCAAGCGAAAATAAAGTATTTTACAGTCTGTAATTTACTTATGTTCACACACTACTGATGGAATAAATACTGTACTGTTTCTGTTTTCTTTGCTGTGATACTATGATATAGGTTGAGAATTAACTGACAATGTGTAGGTGTGACTACATTAATTTGCCATGTACTTGATTTGATTTGTAGGAGGTTCTGTATCAGTATCCAGAAAATGAAGCTTCCCGGAAATTGAGTGATGTACAAGGAATGTTTTTAACTGTCAGTGACATGATGGAGACAATTACAGGGACTAGGGTGATTTGGTAATAATTATGTAATCATCTGCATGTGTTGTGTCTGTCTTTGTAATGAAAGCTTGCTTGCATTTTTCAAAACTATTATTATTACCTCAGATGTATTTAGTTACTGGAACTGGCTGTAAGTCAAGGTAGAAGACATTCTTTGATTTGAATACAAAAATGTATATGTATTGTATAGGCCATTTTCTACTCACTGCGAAATTGGGGTTATGCGTGAAATCAAACGAAAAATCAGTACAAACAAAGGTCATAACATTATATTGGTGTCAAAACATGTGTGATTCGACAAACGCGGAAATGTTTTGGGGGTATTTCTACGCTTCATAACATGCTGAACATGTTGATGTATGTAGCTTCCAAGTGTCATCTTTTTCTCTGAAAGAATTGGTATTTCGCCAATGAACTATTAAAAAAGGATTTTTGGATTTTTTTGCAGCAGACCTTTGTTCGATTCATGCCTTTCTACAATCATTGCAACATGTCATGTTCGATATTGGGTACCCATAGAGACATATACAATGCATGTGAAATACATTGTTTGTTTACATGAAATTTGAACACGCACTGCGCAACACTTGTCACACTTTTAACTTTAAAATGTTGAAAAGAGCACTAAATACACATGTCGGACAATGTATTTGATCATAATCTTAGAATAAATGAATTACATTTAATGTGAAGAAAACATAAATATAGCATGAGCTACGTAGTCTGTCTGTTGACAGAAATACTCTGGGTTACCATTTTAAAAAGAACACTTCTTTTTTATATTGTCACTGACTATTGTTATTTTCATTACAGTTCTTCAATTGTTATAAACAAGCAACTGTTGAACGTGGGTTACTATAAAAATGGTACAGAAGTACTGGTACTTGCCGTGCCGGCGAATAAAGTCTCTGTATCGCAACTAAACCACATTGTCTCTGACGTGGTCAGGTTACTTATTTTGTTATATGGATCATTAGACAAGTAAGGAATTCTTTCACTCAAGCTACATCGTGATGTTGGTTTAAATCTGGTATTTTTATTGAGACAGGCATTGATGATGCTTTTCTGAAATGCTTCACATATGCTTCACAGCTGACTGTGATCACTGTTTATTGATTGCTGATTTACGAACGTGTATTTTCTTTATTTCTGCCATACAGTAGCTCAAATTATTGTGATTGTCTTGAAACAAACTTACGTATAGAAACTTTTTTCAATAGTGCATGGTGCAGACAAATGTATTCGAATGAAAATGTTCATATTATACAGTAAATTACTAATTGACACTGTTATTGCCTCTACAGTACTTTCTTACCTAGTATATATCAAGCCAAATTGGACCACCTATTTTCCCTATTATTCCAAAGACTTCTACTTGGTGATAATGTACATACCCCTTTACTAGATAGCAATACCTATGCCTTCCTTGATACGTTACCTGGAGTTAGGTGGTTAGATCTTCCTGATGATGTCAAGGTGGGTGTTCTTGTAGTTGAATCATGTACAAGTTTGCACTCAAATCGTATGAATATTAATTGTTATGTCATTATGTTTATTTTTTTATTGGTGTTTCCACAAAATACTTATGGACTAAATGAAGGTTTGTTAAGCATGGAGCACCTTTCTGATGTTTCGCAAATTACTGTAGTCATGATTTATAGTTAGTTTTAGAATATTTTTATTTTACTTGGATAAAATCATAGGAGTAGTGGTGATGTGTAATACATAGCAGGGTGAGATATAAATTAAAAATTAGCAATAACTGTTCAGTATGCTCAGTATTGAAACTAAAAGATTTGTTCTTTATATCTAATACACAGTGTATTTAATTTTTTTTTTTAAAAACTGATATGATAAATTATTTTGATTTCTCAGGTGACAATAGATAGCAGTCTTAGTGAACTTGAGGCGACAGATTTTGCAGACATGGTAAGTGATTTATTATAATCCAATTCTTAACTCTCTCATCACCTATTCCCTCTTTCCATCACAAATTAACAAAATATTCCCGTTTATAGTCTGCACCAAGATTGGGACAAAAATAGCCTAAAATTAGCTAAGATTTTGTTTGTTCGCTCAAAAATTTTGGTTCATTTCCAGAAATATTAAAGAATACGAGAAAAAAGTGCAGAACAATTTTGGTCTAGGTCTAGTAGTGAAAAGGTTAATTGCTACCGAATATTTTCTCTTGGCGTGGTGTAATCTTTATCTATGTCTGTTTGTTTGTAGTCCGATGATCACTACGATGACAGAAGACCTTATGTTATTCTAGGAACGTGTCTATTCCATAGGGTAAGTATCCCAGATTTTTGTGTACAGTTTCTGTGTGGCTCTGTAGCTTTAGCACTCATGTTTAAAAACTCATTATGGTCATTACCTGTGATGTCACACCTGGTTGCCTTCATGCCCTTCACAATTGTCTGATGTTTTCTTTGCAATTTCAATCAGTGCAACAGATTTTGGGCGTTCAAACTGTAAAGTTCTAGGAATGAATGAGTGTACTAATGCAGGTGTGGAGAAGACCGCTCTGTTAAACCCCCATGGAAGTGTTTCCATGTACGTCTCAAAACATGTTGATGCTGTGGCAATAATGTCCAGTCAAGTCACTGCATTGTGTTGTAAAATATTACTGAAATACTTTATCTCTATTATAGGGTTACCTACTAGCTAATCATTTACCAAAAGAGGATTTCATTGATATGTTGCTTTACTGTCGATATCATTCCCTACTGACCTTGGCTTCTGAAGCCCGAATCGGCCAGCTAGTTATTTGGAAAGAGGTCTATCCCACCAGAAGACGTAAACGGAAAAGTGGAACTGAAAATGAGGGATACACTGAGCCACATGGAAGAGACTTTCTACTTATTGTTGGCATGGTATGTTCAAAGAGAGAGATTATAAATGAATTATCAATGTGTTATTTGTGATTTCAAGCTATGTATATTTTGATATAATCTATACACATGTTGCAAATGGTAGTGTTATAGCGCCATCTAGTGGCCACTTTTGTTTTTTATATTGTTTGGCTGTATATACTATACTCATACTGTTTCTCCTATTTGTTTGTCCTCTGTACAGAAAAATGGTTTGTTATGTATGTTACTTGAAGCAGGTGGATGTGCAGCGAAGTAAGTTCTCTCATTTTAGTCTTTCCACCGTATTGATTGTTAAATACCTTATTTTAGCTGGAATTTATTTTCGTTTTGGTTTGGGTGTTTTGTATTTTATTTTCACTGATTTTTGACAAGTTGAATGTTAAATATAGGAAAAAGGATATATTTGCTGGATTTTATTTTCACTGAACCATTCCTTCAGCAAAGATAGCGAAAATTATTTCCAATCAAAAATAAAGTATTCTACAGCATGTTATTAGTGCAGTATGGGGAATGAAGTCAAATAACATATTTTCTTGAGATTGTTTCACAAAAATGTGTTTTCCAACAGTTGACGGCAAACTTAAAAAAAATTAACATGACATTATATGTGAATAAATTTCATGAAAGTCATAGTGACTTGCTGTCTAAATCTTTTTCACCACCAGTTCCCTCTTTTTATCACAAATTCTCAAAATAGTCCCATTTATAGTCTGCACTTTCCTTATGAAGATTGGGATGTAAATAGCAAAATGTTTTGGGTAAAAACTGAAAATTTACCGAAATTTTGTCTGGTGGCTCCAAAATTAGGGTTCATTTCCAGAAATATTGAAAAATATAAGAAAAAAGTGCAGACAAGTTTGGGCAAGAAAGTCTGGTTGTAAAAAAGGTTATGTGTAATTGACTGTATTTTTATACATTTATAATATTTACAAACATGTGTTTGTACCATTGTATTTTGTAGGGCAGTTGGTAATCCCAGTCCAGATCCTTTCTATGTGGACCAGGCCAAAGCAACATTACTTCATTTAGAATCAATCAGTATTCCTGCTAGCTGTGAGGACAGGTAATGAATCAGCTTTTCATTTGTCTTTGGTACATTTGGTGTTTATTTTACAAAAAAGTGGACAGTCTACAGTCATTCAATTATCTAAGTTTGTTTGCATATTTAATACAAATGTAGTACAGATATCCAATGAATTAGTTCAAGTTGTATTCTTAGCAAAACTTTGTTGAAAGTTCTTTTAAAGGGAATTATCATATGACGCATTAAAATTGTGACAGCTGTGCCAGTCAGGTATGCATCTCAAACTGAGTAAATGAAATTACAGCAATGATTCATTCAGTAATGTGTACCGGTATTTGTAAACTGTTGTTGTCTTCGTAGGTTGTCTAATATACCAGTACCTGCAATTTCATGCGCCGATTGGTTCTTTTCAAGTAAAAGTAATACAATAGAATCCAGTACCCCTCCACCAATTCCAGGCTCTCCTATGCTGAGTAGGCTCCATACACCACAACAAAAAGGTACAGTAATATTAATAGCATTTGCTGAAGTGTAACAACTGTCCTAATGTATATTGGATTATCATGAACCATTGCCAGTAATGTTTAAAAACACTCAACAATAAAGACTTTAAATTCGTTCTTTAGGTAGTTCAAAGAAACAACAGCTGTTTCCTCCAGATTCCGGAGGCAAGCCCAAGAAGCGATCTGGGTCACCATCAAGAAATGTAGCACGAAGCAGTGCATATGAAGTGGATTCTGATGAAGGTAGTGATGCCAGCGCATATTCCCCAGTGAATAGTCAACAGTCTACGCCCGTTTTAAGACGAAGAAATGATGATAACCGAAGAGAGTCGGTTGGATCAGCGGGGTCTGGAGGTAGCAGTAGTGGAAGTTCACTATTCAAGGTAATACATGTTTTTTTAATTGGCTAGTAAAAAATTGAGTTTCTGTGTGATTACACTCTGAATGGCAGTTAAGAATTCTCTCTTTCTACCATGTTATATATGTTATAGAGACATGCAACTCTTATTTGCTCATGTCGCCTATATCATCCATGTCTTCCGAGTGTTGACTTCTCACTCTGTACATTATTATTTGTGTTTACAGTCTACCAAGAAGCATAGAATAATACCAGATCCATTCAATATGGCAATACTTAGGAAGGGTCTGAATGAAGCAGAAGCTAATGAGCTGTATACGGCTACCAAGTAAGTTCTGCATTCATATATGTATTTATATTGTGTTTGGCAATTGCCATATCATTACCATATTTGTTCTATTAGAAGAGCATTTGTTTTTGATGCATACATGGACTATTTGCTGGATTATTAAAGTATTTTGTCATTTAAGTGCATGTGCTACTAACAGAGCCAATACCATATGACTTATTTCAACAATTAATACCACTTCTGTAATTTATGTGAGGGGTAGGTTGTTGATGTAGTAATACGGGGTAGTAATACAGTTGATGTATATACTACCGTATTTGTCTTCAGTTAAGCGCCACCTTCAATTAGGCGCCAGTGCCACAAAAACTTTGTATTTTACACCTCAATTAAGCGCCAGACAAAGTTGAAATTTTGGCACGTAATGATCGTGAATTGGGCGCCGGCGGATCGACTACCGGTTACCGGTTCGTAGCGATGGACGCGATCGCGGAAGTCCATCGCTGTTACTGTACGAATGGCTTTTATGTAAAAAAAAAATTGGTTTTGTTTCTAACAATTTTTAAGAAATCGGTCTATAATCTCTTGAAACATGTCTTTTTAGTCTACTGTAGAAAATATCAGCGTGGTTTTTAATTTCGCAGTAAGTCCATAAAAACGAAATTAAAACAACGCGAAAATGTTCTGTTTCAAATGCGCTGTTGTCACAGTAAACAGTGTTAAATTATTCTTTAAATGCTCAGTTTACTTTCCAAAAATAACTAATTTCTTGATTTGAAAAAAAAATCATGCCGTTTTTCCCACCAAAATCAAAGCCAAAATATCGCAAACATCGGCAAATCACTTCCGCATTGCGTTCATACATTAT